ACAATATTATCTCTTATGTTCCTCAAATGAAACAGAATCCCCTTTTAAAAGGAAGCCAATTTTTTTTTAATTTTTTTTTATTATTTTTATTTTATGTGCATGCATGTATTGCCTGCCTGTAGGTGAGTGCACCCATGTCGTGCACTGCCCACAAAGGACAGAAGAGGCTGTTGGATCCCCTGGAACTGGAGTTACAGACAGTTGTTAGCTGCCATGTGGGTCCTGGGATTTGAACCTGGGTCTTCTGCAAGAATAGTCAGTGTTCTTAACCGCTGAGCCATCTCTCCAGCCTCCCTAACCTCCTTCTTTTTCCTTTCAGCTCTCTTTTATCACTCTTCTCCAGCACAGGGAGGATGCCTTTGCCTTGCCTTTCCCCTAAGAGATAACAGGGTTGGATTGGTGGCCAGAACAAGGTGCCAAGGCTGGGAGTGCCGGCTTCTGAGACTGCCAAAGGCTGATGCAAGTATCCCTGCCCCTCTCACTTTAGCTGTGATTCAGGGACAGTTCAAGCAGAAGCCCAGAGGACAGAAGTCTGGTCTTTCCACATCCCGTACCTCTTGCATTCAGCTCTCTTGCCTCTCTGCCTACACCAGGCCTGAGAACACAAGGCACAAGGAGACACCTGGGACCTTGACAGTGATTGACAGAAACCTGAGGGGAACAGACACAGGTCTCTGGGTATTATATTCTTTCTCCAAACAGGCCTGGGCCCCTTCTTGGCATAGTGAGGCCTCACCTGTGACTGTGAGTGGAACCTCAGGCTTCCAGGAGTCCTACAGACTCCCAGGGAGACAGCTGGCCTTCAAGAGGAGACATAGAGGTCCACAAGTCATTACAAGCCTAGTTCCTACAAGCTAGGGAGCTGCCTGTGACCACAGAGGCAAGACCCTAAAGGGAAAGGCAGGCTGGTAGTCAGATGCAGAAAGCCTTGACTGCTCTCAGGAGAGGAGGAGGGCTTGTGTGGGTGTTGGCTCCACTGCTGAGAAACCGACTGGCTGGGGCAGGTCAGATGGATGGTTTCCCAGGGCTCCTTGCAAAGAGCCTGAGAAACCCCTTGGTGATCAAGAGTGCGTGCCTGGGGTGTGGGGCCTCAGCCAGTCTTCCCAGGAGCTCTCCTGAGAGGCGGCCCGTGGTGGACCACACTAATGAGCCCATAAGGCAGGCCTTTGATTAAGCAGCTCCCAGCACAGCAACTTGATTGAAACATGCCGAGGCCAGCAACTCGTTCCCACCGAATCCCGGTTCCCTGGGCAACAGCCCACAGGAGAGGATCTGAGCACTGGGAGTCAGCGGGTGCTGAGTGCCCCAGCTCACTGAGGGGATGCCAGAGTGAGGGGGCTAGGAGTGGGAACATCAGTAGCCAGGAGCTTGGGGACTTGGAATTGGGGCGGGGTCCAGGAGGCTTCAAGAAGACTGAGGGGCCACATGACATCTGCTGAGTCCTCTGGGAGCTGAGGTTCCCGAGCAGCTGAAATTGGAGATGCTGACCACTTCAGCGCTTGGGAGGAAGATGTTCCAAGAGGGATAAGAGATCAAAGGGGGAGAAGGGGCTCTACTTTAGTCTCAAAAGACCCTAGTCCCTAACTCCCCACTCAAAATGTGCTTAAACTGTCAATACCCACACATGAACTATGAGGACACTTCTGCCAAGACCCACCAGCACCAGGTCACCCACTGGAGTGATGATCGGAGGACCCTCAGTGGTTAGTCTCCTGCATGGCCCCAATTACACCTCCACACCAGCTCTGTACAGGGAAGAGGCTGGCACCCTCTGGTTCTCAGGGGACAGTGGTGGCAGCCTGGGACATGGTGGAGTCACAGGAGTAGTAGGAGGCTCTTTTCCAGTGTTGGGCTAATTTCAAATGTTACATTTCAGGGCTTTTGCTACAGTAACTACCAACACCACATGGACAGAAATCTAATGTTACCAAGTGGGACTTTTAAAATGTATTTATAACTTTATGGTTCAAAGTAATTTTGTTATGAAACAATGTAATAACAACAGTGGAAAAAGGCAAGATAATTTATGGAACACAATATCCCTAAAGCACTAGCTTCCATTTCTACCTCAGCTTAGTCTGAAAAGTGTGGTTGATATCCTTTGTTGGCTGTTTGTTTTAATTAAGGGTTAGGATTTTGGTGGTGGGGGAGGAGGCTGGTCTGAGAGAGAACTTCAGCTGCAAGCAGACACACGCAGACAAAAAATACCCATATTAAGAGTATATACACTGTGCAGACCCCTAGACTGGGTTAACCCACAAAACCAGTATAATTCTCTTCCTTTTACTGTAATTCCCCCATGCTCTCTAACATACCACAAACAAGACTTGGTCCCCTAACCCTAACCCTTTCCCTAGCCTCCTGATTCCCTTTCTTTATATATTTTTTAAAAATATTTTTTATTTATTATTTTTATGTGTATGTGTGTATTGCCTGCATGTAGGTAAGTGCACCCATGTCAGGCAATGCCCGTGGAGGTCAGAAGAGGCTGTTGGCTCCCCTGGAATTGGAGTTACGGACAGTTGTTAGCTGCCATGTGGGTGCTGGGATTTGAACCTGGGTCTTCTGCAAGAACAGCCAGTGTTCTTAACCACTGAGCCATCTCTCCAGCCCCCTTTCTTCATATTCTTGTGAGAGACAAGAAAACTTCTTCCCCTACTCTAACAACCAACCAAAAGCCAAAAAGATGTGTGGTGAATCAGGCTAATACCCCCTTAGAGATCTGGGCAGGGTGGGCACTGGATGCAAGTTGATGGCTCTTACTTAGCCCCAACATCAGCTCTGATGCTTGTTCCAAGCAGGAGGGCAGAGGAAGAACAGAGTGTTCCAGACAAGCCAAGAGGTTTCTGCTCAGATAAGCTGGGTTTCCATCAGGGGGAAAAGGAGAGTAGATAGACTGTTGGGGGAAGCTCTGGCCACGAGGCCTGTCTAACTCTGGTTGTAGATATACACTTTCTATGAATTCTGTGAGATTTCCATACAATCACAGGAGAGTGGAATCCACACATTGTTTTACCCTTGGTTTCTTGGCCCTTGATTTCCCAGGGTATGGAAAGTTTTATATTTCCACTGTCAAAACCACCAATGGCCAGGAAAGTGGCTTGGTCCAGGTGCCAGGAAGGAGGCCAGGAGGTGCCCCTGGAGCTGCGAAGACAAGCAGCAGCACCCATACTCCATGAGCACACATGGTGCTCCCAGAGGCAGCTCACAGCTCTGGAGGGGTATCACTTAGGGCTGCTGAGGGAGGGAGGAAGGCAGAGCCTATGAAAAGAGAATGGAGAAGAAAAGGCTTCTCACTTGTAACCAGGGTCCATGAGCCGCATAAGGATGTTCTTCAGTTGCAAAGGCACCTTCTACTCCCGTGGAGACAAAAGTGATGGCCATGTCACCCGTGATACTCTTATAGGTAAAGTGCCGTCCATGTAGGAGCCTGCCCCTGGGGATAGGAACATGAAGACAGTGAAGAGCTGCGCTGAGAAATTTGGCCCCTGGCCAAGGCTCTGGGCCATGGTTCCTGAGGCAGGGTGCTTGGGCAAATGTCCTCCTGATGGCCTACCTGACCACTATCAGGGGACTGTAACCCCAGGTGTTCACTGCAGCACTTCAGTGAGAAGCTACCATCACCAATTCTCTAATGACATCCTTCCAAAGTGCTCCCAGCCAGTGGACACACTCTAGATCAGAGTTCAAAGGGCCTTAGGGATGGTGGCGGCTACCCTTCCTTTGCTACCTTCCTCACGTATGGTGAGGACAAGGAGGCCAGAGAGGAAAGTTAGCAGTGTGCCCTGATGCATACCCAGAGTGGAAATGGAGTCATGTCTCCTGGGAAGGTATTTCATTGCCCATTCAGAATCTTCCATTTGTTCCTAGGTTTTCCTGTAACACTTAAACAGTTATCCTAAAGGTTATAAGCAGGTCTTAAAAACCAAAACAAGCTAAAGCCAGGCAAGTTGGCGCATGCCTTTAATCCCCACACTTGGGAGGGAGGTAGAGACAGGTGGATCTCTGTGAGTTCAAGGCCAGCTTGTTCTACACAGTGAGTTCTAGGTCAGCTGGGGCTATAAGGAGACCCTGTCTCAAAAAGACAAAAACAAACAAACAAACAAACTGAAGCCAAGTGGGGTTACTGCAAGAAGTCGTTGTTAACTCCCAGTCTGGAAATACACCTGGGGGAAGGGCAGGCAGGGGTAATGGGTAGGGAGGCCCAGCAGCAAAGGAGGCAAAACTGGCTCTCTTGTGTTCTCAGGTTGTCTCAGATTAACCCTTCCCCAGGTAAAAAAGCCCGAATCTGCACCCATGAAGCAGCTTAGAGGAAATGGCTAGGGTCCTGGGAGGGCCTCTTTACTCTGACCACTTGTTACGTTTGCCCTGATGCCGAGGGCACTGGTCAAAGTTGGCTACCCTCTAAACTCCTTCCCTGGGCTCCTGGGTCAGTGGGGAGGTCCAAGCCATGCAAGCCCTTCTTCCCTCCCCAAGTTTAGAGAGATTCTTATTGCCTCCTCTGCTAGCAAAGTAAGGGTGGAGCTCTCAAGGGCTGTGGAGGAAGGCCAGCTGCAAGAGATCCAGCCCAGTGCTGGGTCCCCAAACAAGAGAGGGAGAGCTGAGTTCTGGCCACAGGGCTGGGTTCTGATTCTGGACAGCAGCAGAAGAGACACAACTGGGCTTTCTGGTCCCTAGGAGTCTGCTGGGCTGGCCACTGAGTGTAAAGAACTGGGTGTTTTACAGAGGAAAGCATCAAGCAAGAGAAGCCCAGCTTACCAGAACCCTCCCTTTGACAACCCATCTCCATGTGGGATGGCACAGGGCATCTGAGACAAAGTAGAGGTTTGAAGCATCTACTCCCCATGGAATCTGACTCTGAAACTGTCATCAAACAAGCCAGATGAGATACCAAAAGGGGTCTGTGGCCATGGTCCTTTGCACACTGGGGGCTACCACTGCTCTAGGTTAAGAGATGCAGGAGAGACCCTCCCTAGGGACAAACAACAGGGCCATTTGGCCCTGCTGCTCTCCTGGCAGAGTTGTCAACCACCTGGGCTACCCAGAGGCTTGGATGGGGAGTATACTGCAGGGGCCAATGATGCAGAGTTCCAAAGTTCCCACACCGGCCCACAATGGAACTGTCTGGTTGGCTATGTTCCTTTGCCAGTCCCAGACTCTGGTTAGATATATTAACTGCCCATAGGTGCCTCTTTGGGCAAAATGGCCAGCATAGGGCTGGTGGTCCCTGGAGGCTCTAGAGGACCTGTGTTAGGGGAGAGCCGACTGGGGAGGCTCTGAAGCACCCTGAGGCCTGCAGGGTGCTGTGGTGTTGAGATGTGCAATGGGCAGTCTCAGCTCACCTTAGGCAGAGAGGAATGAGGGCTCCTGACTCCTGGTTAAACTTCAGATGCACACTCTCGAGTTGCCGTGTGCGGATCAGCTCATGGGGAATAATGGCTGTGGAGCTGTCGCTTTCCAGGCTGTCTTTGCGGCTCCTGAGAAGCAAGTACAGGCACAAGTTCAGCAAATGGGGAAAACCACAGGAAAGAGCAAAAAGGGACTTTCTAGATGAGTTCCTGGTTGGTAACAATCATGGTGCCTGATAATGTTGGCAGCAGTTGCCCTTGACTGTGTGCTCACCAAGTACCAGTGCTATGTCAGATACTTCTCACTGACTGGTTACTCTTCCTGATGTTCCCATGAGGTGGGCACACTTTGACTGAGGAGGCTAAGTAGCATGATGAGGTTACACAGCCAGTGAGGAGGTGGAACTGGCATTTGGTCTCAGGTTTGGTTCTAGAGCTAATAACATACAAAAGTTCACACCACAGTGGTTTGTTTAGCCCTGTAAGATCTACGGGCACTCTGGGAGCTTTTCCTTTCCTGGCCTGGTGCCAGAGACTCTTAGCTTTCCAAGGCTGGGAGGGCAGCATGAGATCCAGCATAAGAGCTTCTGGCTGACCCTGGGAAGGTTCTAAGCAAGCCACGAGGCAGTCACAGAAATGTTCTTCATCTAACATGAGTAATGGTCCTTGCTGAGGTGTGGATGTTGGGCACTTAGGAGTTAGACCAATGAGTGTGAATGACAACAGAATTTGGCCTCCTACTGCTGAGTTTCACCAAGGGGAGGGGAGGGGAGGGGAGGAATTCAGGGCTGGGGAAGGCCCTGCACCAGATCCCTTCTGATGTGACCTTGGCCACACTAAGCTATCACCACTGCCTTGCACTCTTTCCTGCTCAGCTCCCCATCAATAGCTTGTCCCACACCTGGGCCACTGGATCCCTTGGTCCCTTTAAGAGTTGCTTTTCAAATTCAGCTACCCCCACGAACAACCTCTTAAATCTACCTCAGCAGATCCCATTCAAAGGCCAAATTCTGGTTTGGACTGTGAAACTTGGAACAATTATGCAAATGTCCATCAAAATACTGGATGAGAAGCTTTCTTTTTTTCTTTAAATTAAAAAAAAAATCTTGAGACAGGGTATCTCTGTAGGCCTACCTGGCCTGGAACTCCCTGTGTAGACCAGACTGTCCTTGATCTCAGAAATCTGCCTGCCTCTGCCTCCAGGATGCTGGGATTAAAAGGCATGCAACCCACCACACCTGGCTTAAGAAGCATTCTTTTTTCTTTTCCTAAATCATTCAAGCAGCAGGCAGGAGCCACCCAGGATGTCTGGGCTGGACAGCCACCCAGAGGCAGGCCCTATAGCCTCATACAATGGAGTCTGAGCACTGGGGCCTGCAGCCAGTGAGGCACCTCACAGGTAAAGCCTCTCCCCAGGGCACTGTGAGGTGAGTACTGGCAGTGCAGTGGATTAGAATAGTCCTCTTCTCCCCTGGTAATGGGGCAATTTACCTCTACAAGTCTGTTCCTCCCTGTGAGAACCCAACCCAGATCTGACAGCTTTTTTACCAAAGCAGTCCCACAAAGCAGGCAGTTCCCAAAGTTGCCTCAGAACAGCCTTTCCCTTGGCAAGATCTTTCACAAGACTTGTGAAGGAGACAAACTCTGTAGCCAAGAGGGTCACCGTATTTCAAAACTGGGAGGAAATTCAAACTGTTTTAATTTACCTCTTTCCTTTTTAAAAAGGAGGATGCATCCAAGGCCACAGAGCACATTAGTGGCAGGCCAGCATGTGAACCTTGGATTTCTGACCACCGTCTCTTTCCCCTTCACCAAGCTATGCCATGCATGCCTTCCAAGGCAGGCAACCCCTCATCTCAGCCAGGCATTACTGATGGGTTCAGAGGTAACATGGGGTGTCCCTAGGGTCCCACAAGAGCAAGAGTGGAACACAGGAAACAGCAGCAGCCATGTTTGTTGAGCACTTCCTCTGTGCCAGGGTCTCTGCTAAATGCACAGGTTCAAGTACTAGGTCCTCAGAGCAGGCTGGGAAGCTCTTGACCCTTTTACAAATGAGGTGAGAGAAACCTAAGGTCACAGAAGGAGTTTACTTTTTCTTTTTTTTTTGAGGTGCTAGGTAGGGTTAAAACTCAGAGCTTCAGGCATGCAAATACTCTACCACTGAGCCCCACCCAGAACCCCACTGAGTTAAGTGCCCAGAGCCAGGGTGTGACTCACAATCATTCCCATGTGCCACCTGAATAAAGGTTCTCCTATCTGTAGGCTACCATGCTGCCCACAGGGGTTAAGGCCTGCCTGCTTGGGGTGGAGCCTGTTGGAGGACCACGGCTTCAGTGGCATAAGCAAAAATGTTGATGAGTAGCCATGGGAGGTGGGCTGGGGGCTGGTAGAGAAGAATCAGCAGCACACAGGGCTAGAGAGTCTCAAGCTGGAGAGAAAAATAAATTGTTGAAAGTCAGCTAAAGTCACCTTGGTAACTGCCACAACATACTCACCCAGAACCAGGACATCAAACCCAACTGCAAACAGCTTTAAAGAAATGGAAAAGAACTTAATCATCTGAAGAATTAATGTGACAAGTGCCCACATTTACACCTCCCACTAACCTTCAATCATTTGAAAAAAAAACACACTTTAATCTTTTAAGAAAAAAAAAAAAAAAGGCAAAATGCTAGATCTGCAGTCCTGGTGCCTGGGTATTTCCGGCATGCTGCTTCAATGGAAATGCGGCTGCTTCACACATGCAGGAGCCCAGCTTTTTGCTGATTTGTTTTTTCTGGACATCGATGCAGAAGCATGAATTATTTGTGTGGGCTGGGTGAGGTATTAAATCTGCAGCCAACACAGGTTTGCAATGTTTTGCATGGTTGTCAGCTTAATCTTAATCATAAAAAAATAAGTAGTGTGCACGGCAGCATGGCCTAATTTTTCAGCTGGGCTGTTTTCTCCCTGAGTTCCCAACAGAGGAGAAGGCAGTGTTTTGGGGGGGAGGGAGCTGAGAGGGAGAGGGCCTTAAGGGGAGGCATGATCCACAGCCATTGGGGAGGACTAGGGGCATGGGACCAGGAGCATGCCTTGGGAGGCAGAGTGTCAAACACCACAGGTTTGAGTCTTAGGTGACCTTGGGCAAATGGCTTCACCTTTAACTCCTCCTTTTCTGAGACAGGGCTCACCATATAGCCCAGAGTGGTTTTTCTTTTAAATTTTATTACATTTACTTATTGTTTGTGTCACGGCACCACATGGAGGTCAGAGGAGAACTTGCTGGAGCTGGTTCTCTCTTTTCAGCATGTGGGTTTCAGGGATCAAACTCAGGTTACCAGGCTTGGTGCCAAGTGCCTTTACCTGCTAAAACATCTCACTGCCCCTCCTCTGCTTGCCCAAGACCACCCTAGGCTGGTCTTGAATTAGTATCTATTTCCTCCTGCCTCAATCTCTGGAGTGCTGGGATCCAGATGTGTGCCACCATGCTAGGTGGCTTAACTTTCTCTAAGCTTCCAGTATCTGAATGGTAATAAATAACAGTAGGGTCACTATAGTATTTAAAAGAACCTTAGGAGGAATCTCACAGTTAATGGGGAACTGCAGGTCTCTTCTGCAAGAATGGCTGTGGCTGATAGAAACTTGTCTTTATCCCAGACTTAGGATCCAATGGACTCTGGCCGGGTCAGTTCCTCTGATGAGCAAAGGTCTTGAAAGGAGATTTCTGAGATAGAGTTGGAAAAGGCTTCAAACTCCTGGAGTAGATGCTCTGGGTTCTGAGCATCCACACAGTTGGTACTCTGGGAAGGCCAGACTATAGGCTAAGAAAATCCCTCGAGGCCTTTGCCCCACTGCCAGAGGCAGTGAGTGGCCAGACCATCTAGCTTTTACAATCTGCCTCCCTGCAATTCTCAAACCACTGTCCCTTACACAGTACAGTAGTTTACTCTATCTTTTTCCTGGCAGTCTTTTGAATCCCTGAAGCTGCTCTGGAATCCTATCAACAGTCTCCCCACCTCCCCCACCCCAATCTGTGGCCCTAACTTCCAGCTATATTTTTGACAAGGTTCTAAACTTGGCTATCTGTTCAAGTCACCCTCTCTTGCATTCATTTGAGCTTGTCAAAGCTAGGGTGTCATGTCCGGAAGTGAAGTGGCACGTGTGGAAATAAATACAGTGTGTGGTCCAGTGCAGATCACAGAGGTTCTGTGATCACTCTTGTTTGGGACAGTTTATTTCTATTAGAACTGTCATCAAATTGTCTTTCTTTGTAACCTCATCATACCACCAACCCATACGACACTCCCTCTACTCACAAAGTCTCACTCAGGTTTTCTCCACAGGCTCTCTCCTCCTGTCTAGTGTGCACTGTGGATGACTGGAGCTAAGAGCAGGACTGCCATATTTGGCTAGGGTTTCAGGCAGTTAGGGTAATTCTGAACTTGACATTGGCATCCATCACCTTGGCATTCCTTCCTAACTTTCACATCACTGACAAAACTGATAAACTTGCCACTGATGTTCTCACCCAGTCTTTGATTAAACCATGAACAGGCCAGGGCTGGGCAGACAGGCTGACTGACATCACTGCTCTTTGGGTATATTCATCCAACTAATTATAAAAGAATCCACCCTTCCTAAGCCAGGCATGGTGGCACATGCATTTAGTCCCAGGACTTGGAAGGCAGAGTCAATGGATCTCTTTGAGTTCAAGGCTAGCCTGGTCTACAAAGTGAGTTCAGGCCAGCTGGGGCTACAGGGAGACGCTGTTTCAAATCAAACTCACTCCACCCTTCCCATCAACCCCCTGGATGCTCTCTGGACATTTCTATCTTGCCTATAACGATGTCAGAAAATGTTCAAGATGTCTTGCTAAACTCTGCCTATGCTAGGCACAGCACTTTTGTCTCTCCAGGCAGGTAAGTAGTTGGGCTGACTCTCTCAGGGCTGTTTCCCTGACCCTGTTCAAAGCTCCTCGCTGATTAATTCAGACCAGAATTTTCCTCAGTGTGACACCAAGCTCACTGGTCTAGCGAGTACAAAATACTCCTGGTGTCCTGAACTTCTGTAGGCTTCCAGTTTGCCCACAATCCTCTCCATGATCCTCCAGATGACCTTGAGTCTCACCAGCCAATTCTCTTGGTGTT